CTAGATAGATCGAGATCAAGAGCGGATAATAACAATAATGATAATACAGATGACGAATGCGAATCGAAATGACATGGAATCGTGGTATAAATTGAAAGTTCAAGAGATTCAAACGCAATCAGCACGTCAGAACATTGAACAAGGTTATCAGAAAGAGGAAGTGAAACGTTTGAGAGTACAGCTCGGCGATTTGAGGGGTAAACTGGCTGATCTGGAAGGACGAGTGAGTCATATCAGTTATATATGATGATGGTAATGTTAATGAGTAATAAAAAAGTAACGAGACGAATCTCAGAATGCCCTACTGGAAAAACAAATCCAAGAGCTGAACTTCCAACTGGAGGATGATCAACGTTCCTACGAGGCTGCGTTGAATGATCGCGATGCGCAGATCCGTAAGATGCGCGAAGAATGTCAAGCTCTTATGGTCGAACTGCAGATGCTTCTTGACACTAAACAGGTAATACATTATTGTACGTGTTACATATGATTATGATAATAAAAACTGCAGACTCTTGATGCCGAGATAGCGATCTTCCGCAAGATGTTGGAAGGTGAGGGAGATGGCCCTGGCTTGAAACAACTCGTTGAGCAAGTGGTACGCACAACCGGCATTAATGAAGTGGCTGATACAGGTCAGTTGCGTAATTCACCTCATTAAGGCAACTGAACAATTCCATTTCAGAGACGATGCGTGTTGTGAAGGGTGAGACATCATCAAGAACCTCATATACCCGTTCAGCTAAGGGCAACGTTTCTATCCAAGAGACCTCTCCGGAGGGCAAGTTCATCGTGTTGGAGAATACGCATCGCTCCAAAGAAGAGCCCATTGGAGAGTGGAAATTGAAGAGGAAGATCGACGGCAAGAAAGAGATCGTTTACACACTCCCCAAAGACTTCATTCTCAAACCCGGTAAACAGCTCAGAGTTTGGGCTCGAGGTCAAGGCGGTGTCCATGCACCCCCCGATCAGATGATTTTCGAAGCTGAAGAGAGTTTTGGAGTCGGTGGCAATGTGCAAACCATTCTGTACAATAAAGAAGGAGAGGTGCGTTTGTGTTCATTTCCTTCACATTCAGTTGAAAGTTAGAAACGCAAAATAATGCTCATGAATGTTTCTGATTGCCATATTCGTTACTGAAAATTACATTCGTTAACAATGTTACTGACTTTCGTTTATTTATTCTTCATTCGATTCTTGAGTACTTTATTTCGTTTAGATTTGAAACGAGTTTCTTGTTGTCATAATAATTGTGAAATGAATGCATGATAACATTCTTGTGAACGTGATTAATTGCAGGAAAGAGCAACGCATATCCAGCGATCCAGCCAGACGGCCAGTTAAACAAACTCAGTTCAAGAAGCAGTTTTCGATTACCACTTATTATCACTTAATCGTTTCACTTCTATATTCACTGGCATTTCTTCACCCTATCTCATCATCGATATTAATTGTTAATAACGATTACTGCATCTCATATCATCACAAGTCTGTGTTACATAATTAATGATATGAGTCTCTTTTCCTGTCGTTTCTTTGAATCGAATTCTTGTTTGATCGCTCCTTTACACAACTCAAATCATAAGACACTTCGCTCTTCAACTCTCTTATTTGGGAACTTCATTGTTTGAGAATTTCAATTTCTTCAGTTCACTGTGTGTGATGTTAACGAATGACGACGATACATCATGATTATTTTTTACTTTGATCTTTATATTGTTATTATTATTGTAATTATTATAAAAATATGATAATTAATAATAATAATACAACTAGAATTTGTGGAGTTGGTACCTTCGGTGAGCACTGCTGAAAGGTAATACAATGTTCTTCTGCACGGAATAACTTCAAACTTTCAGTAAAACTGATGTATCTGCTTTTTATACTCTTTCTACATCAATATTACACAAGCAGATTAATCTTATTACAGTTTAAATTGATGCCAATGAGAATATTATCGCAAAAATATAATAATAATAATGCTGATACGATAGCAAAGGTAAAAGCATTTTAGCAATTTCATATGTTACAATGAAAATGCATTTGATTACAATGAAAATATCGAAATATTCATTTCGTTCAAATACATACTTATGGATATTAGTATATAAAATAAGTTAGTGGGTGCATAAAATCGCACAAGATATTTTAATGTACAAATCTCCATGGAAACATAAGTGAGCATCGATTAAAGTTATGAATATCCGTACGTAAATTATAACTGAACAATAGATTTGACTGAATAAGTTCAATTCATTTGAAAATCTATAAATTTATCTGCAATATTCAGATGCATTAATTGCATATGCGATTTAATATTACGGGCCAATTAACAGGGTGGTTCTCACGTTCAGGTGCTCCATTTCCACATCCCATGATGTGGCAGGCCACCGTTTACCCCTCTCCCCTCCCCGACACCCTCAAATTACCCAAAACGGGTAATTTTACTCTATATGAGAACCGCTGTCCTGAATTGCAATCGATCATAATTGCGTGAAAAGCTATTGTCTATGATACGCTTAATTCAAACTGATTTAGATGGATTCTCATTCTTTTCAGACGTGTTGCATTCACTCTTGTAGCTATTGCATGTGAATACCGTTCTCATGATGAATTTTTCTCATTCACTTCGTCTCACTTCACTTCACAGTTCGAATCGATTTCTTATTTTGTAGCATAT